GACGGTACGAATCCATGTGCAGGAGCTCCCTGGAGGGAGAGATGATACATGCACAGACAAGAGCCAGCCCCGGGTAGCGGAGATGAAAGCACAGCAGAGGCTGTTCAAAGGGACTCCGGAAAACCCATCTGCGGGTCTGGGGGTTTCAAATCACATTTGGCCTTTTGAGAATATTGAGAATTAGCACACGCCAGTAGCTGTCCCCCTTTGACACGGGGGTCAACCCCAGACACGAGGGGGACCTGCAAGTCCTCCGGCATGTCCTGCCCCTTCTCCTCTGCCCTCCTTTTCCCCCCCTTTCCTGGCAGGATGCCAGCGTCTTTCTGCAAGGCAGAATCTAATCTCAAGGAATATAATGCTTCGCTTTTATGTAGCCACGTTTCAAACGTTCAAAAGGCTCCGCAGATCTTCTATCGTTCATCTTGGCTTTGGAAAAAGGATATTAGACACAATTTCCTGGAGGACGGGGCCGTCAAAGGGATTAGCCGTGGCTGATAAATGGAGCCTACATCTATATGTGAAGTCTATCTTCAACCACCAGGTGCTCTGGGCAAACAAGGAAGGATCAGGGATGTTGGCAAATCTTGGGGTCCGAGTCCCAAATTTGAGTCTTTGGTCCTAAGTTTGAGTTTATGTTCCAAGTCCCAAGTCTGAGTCACTGGAAAAAAAATCCCCAAGCGAGTCACTGGTGCGAATTAAGTCCAACTTGACAGCAAGTCCCATGACTCAAGTCACCATGGTTTTGTCGTTTTTTTAAAAAACTTGACAGCGAGTCCCATGACTCAAGTCATCATGGTTTTGTTTTTGTTTTTTAAACTGGATCCAGAAATGCACGTTATGAAAATGTTCACCATCAGCATAACCTTTTGCAACAATCCTGCAGCTTCTTACACTACGGCAGTGCAAAGCTGGGGATTCTCTGACTGTCCAATATTTCAGTTGGGGGAATGCAATTCTCGGGCCTGAAACGCAACCCTGGCCTTGCGCGAGCATGTTGCATCATGTGGGGAAATTGCATTATACGCTGAAATTCTCCTCTTTGTGCTACTTTGAAAGGCAGCACAAGGCACATGTCATGGTCTGGTCTGTCTCTGCAGGGAACAGCCCGCAAGCTGAAGTGTTTCCAGTGCTTATTGGTTGAATTGATCAAGGCTCTGTGGAATATTTTCCATTCTTTTAAGAATCCGCTTTAAAAACTCGAGAGGAAAACAATTTGGAGTATTTGTTCTTAACTCCAAACAAGGCTTTTAACCTTATCATTCTCCAGACTATTTCACAGAATTTTACAAGGGCAACCTTGCTTTTGTTTTTTTTAATTAGATAACCCAGATATTCGCCATATTTCGTTTGCACTTGCCAGTGGAAAAACCTGTAGGCTGCTGGCAGGAGGTGGACGGCATAGCAAGTCAAATCACATGGTAGAACGGAAAATGGTTGCAAAATGCAAAAACTGCAGTCGGCGGCGTGTGATTCCTGTTTTCTACTTCATTTTGAAAACAGGCCGTTGTTGATTTTAGTTTTCCTTTTGTTCTTAAGTGATGTCATTGGCTGTACTGTGTTCTTTTTTTTATGATTATGCACGCTCAGGGAGCCTTAACTATAGGATGACTCATACATGAAATAAATAAAACAAACCCATTGTTTTTCCACTCAAATGCTGTTCATTTCCAATCAGAAAGCACCAGAACCTTATGCAAAAAAAACCCCCAAAATAATTGGAGGCATAATGAGCAAAGGTAGGGAGTCTTGCCCTCTCCCTGGATGGGAGAACATGATTGCGAGTGCCGTACAGCTTCTCACTGGCTGCAACTTTCTGTGATCCCACAACATCCTTTTTCTTTTCCGCTAGCAGTCCATTCTTCTTTGTTTTTGATGTGAAATGTTGTACGGATCCTGACTGCTTGAGCGTCTGAGATGCAAGAGACGCTGAAGCCCAGGCGGAAATTCTCATAGATGGATTAAATTCCATGCCTCTGCTTCTCTGTGCTGCATGGGGTTGGGGATAAAAAAATAATAATAAAATAAAAATAAAGCTGACTTCATTCAGTGGCAATCAAGAGCTCCATGTGACCCCCAGGAAGATGACATCATCCTCATTCTAAAACCCTTCTCCCTTGTGCCTCTTTTAAAGGGCCAGCATAAATTTGTATGTTCATATGTGTGTGTTTTAAAAACAAAACGGAACGACTCTTTTCACAAAACGAATTCCGAACCTTACCTCACAACTGTGGGTAGCAGAAAAAGACTAGCCCTATGGATATGCTATCTGGGGATGATAGGAATTGTAGTATGGCCCATCTAAAGGACACTGGGTTGAAGATGTCTGTTTTGGTCAAACAATTCAGTTTATTTTGATTAATCAAACACTTATCCCCTGCCCTCAACATTATTTCTAGATACGTCCCTGGTACGGCGAGCGTCACAATTTTTCAGCAAGACTTCAGTCTGTGGAATTTCCTACCGGCAAAGGCAATGCTGGACCATTTCCTCTTGTCCTTTTGCCAGAGGGTGAAGTGTTATTATTATTATTCTTCTTTATTTCAGGCCGGCTTCCAGCAATTGACTGGCTGCTCAGAACAAGGCTTTGCGGTTTGTTGCTATACATCTCTTCGGAAGGCATTTTAAAATTATGTTCTAACACAGCCTGACAGTTGGCGTTTCATTTAATTCATAGCCGACACTTTCCCCGCTATTAATAGCATTCTTTTCTTCAACGCAACTGTGAGCTGGTTTGAGTCCTATCTTTCGGAAGGCGCAAGAAACGTATGGAGCCAATAAACAAGAAAGGAGCAGGACACAATTGGTCGTCCAGATGTTTTGGAGTGCTGCTCCTTTCAGGGACCCGCTGGGGGTGCAACCTTCTTTTTCACACAAGCTTAAGAGCTCTTGCCAGGGGCATGCACAGTCCCACAGCAAAATCCCTATTCCCTTCCACTTTTCACACATCCATCTTAATACCTGAGCGCCCTCTAATGTCCCCTGACCTGCCTGTTTTCTTTATCTGTTCATTAAGGGCTTTTTCAGACAGGAGAAAAGTCTTTCCCCTTTTCTCCCAGTTCATCCCTGTTTCTCACGGATAAGGGACTTACTGGGATTCCCATCAGCACTATTCCAAGACCTTCACAGTTGTGTTTGGTGGGCACACAGGAGAGGTCCTATGCTGTTGCTTCTCCCAGACTTTGGAACTCCCTCCCACTGGAGACCAGGCTGGCCCCGTTTTCATTTTCCTTCCACAAGCAGGCAAAAAAAGCCCTTTCTCTTCAGGCAGACTTTCCCTTAATGACTGGCTTGCCTGACTGGGTTTTTTTTTAATGGATTGGCATACCTTTCTACTTTGAATGTGTTTGGGTGTCACTTTTGTTTACTGTTTTTTAGTATGGTATTTGTTGGATCTTCTTTTAGTATTTGTATACTGTTGTTAGCTTTAAATGCTGTCTTTAATGACGTAGGCTGACCTGGGTCCCTTTTTAAGGAGAAAGGCCGAGTAAAAATATTTTTTTAAAATATTAAAAAAATAGATGGTCTACTATGCTTCCTCTACTAAGCTGCTGTTGGTGCCACTTTCTCTCTGCCAGCAGTATCCAGTTCTTCAGCAGACCCTCACACTGGCCAGCATGCTCTTACCCAGGGGTGAGCAATTAATTTCTATAAGGGGGGCCACATGAAAAATCTGAACTGTGTTCGGGGGCCGAACCAACTTTACTTAAAAATAAAATGAAACAGTGATGTTATGATTGTTTTTACAGTGGTGCCTCACTAGACAATGATAATCCGTTCCACTGAAATCGCTGTTTAGCGAAATCATTGTCTAGCGAAAAGCATTTCCCTATTGGAATGCATTGAAACCTGTTTAATGCGTTCCAATGGGGAAGAATCGTCATTATCTAGCGAAGATCGGCCATAGGAAAGCCGCTTTGCGAACCGCCGATCAGCTAATCAGCTGTTTAGGTCCCAAAAACACCCGTTTTGCAAGCGCGGAGGAAGCTGTCAAAATCGTCTAGCAGAAATCGGTTTGCGAAGCAGGGACCAAACATTGTCCAGTAAAATTCCCCCATAGGAATCAGTGTTTTGCGAATCACTATAGCAATTGCAAAAAGTCAATGTCTAGCAAAAAAAACCTGACATGTGGGGTAACTGTCTAGCGAGGCACCACTGTATTTTAAACTTGTTAATCTTCAAACAAATCTTTTCTGTAACTCTAAATTCTGCTTACCCCAAACAAACCCAGACCCCCCCCCCCCCCAAAATTTGTGTATAGGTATACACAAGGAAGGATATAAGCAATTGTGTTTTAAGGTCTCTCTCTCTCCCTCCCCCCGCATTGTTTCCATCTGGGCCTTGCAAGAATGGGTCCGATCCTCCCTGCTGCATCTCCTTCCTACACTAAGCACTCAGTGGGCAGAAGCAATGCTATGCATGCGCTCAGGCCACAGCAGCACCATAAGGCCCATCTTCCCTACGGCCTGCCACTAGGTCTGGGAGTGGAATCCATCAGGTTAGGAGGGTCAGATTTCCCACTTTCGGGATTTTACAGCTGACCCTGGAATATATCATAATCTGGCCCTTTTTCGGGGAATAAGAAAAATTAACACTGCAAAGCGTGCCCTTCGAGGTGCACGACTTTGATTCTGGACTACAACTCCCAGAATCCCTCTGGCAAAACAGCTGTCTGGGGAATTCTGGGAGCTGTAGTCCAACCAGCAGCCTTCTAGTCTACCTACACCCACTTAACTGGGAGGAAATCCGAATACGGCTTCCTTCGAAGCCAGCATAACTAGAACTGTGCAGTGCCATACATTTCCTCTCATTTTCTCCCCGCTTCAAAGAATAGAAATTAGTTTTCACAGTGCGCACGCGCAGACCCTACTCGTCGCTTTGCTACTACGAGCATGCGCATAAACCCGACACACTCCCCCTATTGCGATGTCATGAGCAACCACCCCCCCCCGGCTCCCTTTTATTTCAACGCTATTCCGCTTGGAGGGCGGCCTTAGGTTCGCGCAAGCGCAGAGAGAGAGAGGGCGGACGAGTGCGCCTCCGCCGCTCTACCGCGCACGCGCGGAGGGGGGAGCGAGCGTCGTCGGGAGAGCCCGGCCCCCTGCCTCCGTCTGCGCTTGCGCAGGAAGGGTCCTGTGGCCAGAGGGGACTGGGCCGCCCCTCCCCAAATCCGGAGGAACCGGTGAGTGTTAGAATGTGCAAAGTATTATGGGAAAGGGGCAGTTTTCCTCCCCTCCCCCCCACGCTTGCCCTCCTCTTGGTCCCTATGCCCTTTCCCCCCCATCGCAGTGCATTGTGGGATTGTAGGTTCTCCTTATGGTCCGCTCAGTTGCAAAGCATGATGGGATCGGGCTCTTTCTGCCCCCCCCCCACTGGCACAGAGGCTGGGGGGGGGCCAGGATCTTTGGTTTTCCCCCCCTCCCCGAAAATTATGGGATGGGGGGCCATGTAGTGACAACAGCTCCCATCACCCTTCTCTTCTCTGCCCCACGGCGGCCTCTTCCATTCCGTCACCCCTGGATTTTTGGGAGCGGTGTGGGGGGGTAGTTTAGGGCAAAGCTTCCCTCTGGTTCTGCTCCTCCTGCAGGTGGTGGAGGTGGTGGGTGATGTCTGAAGGCCCCAAGCATGTGGAAGGTGGGAGATCTGAGGACGTTGGCTTGGAGGATGAGGAGGAGGAGGGGACCTGGACCGGGGAGCAAAGTGTAGCGAGGGGAGGAGGCTGGGTTGGGCTGGTGGGAGGGATGCATGCATGCATGCATGCATGCAGTTCCCCTCCCTCCTGCCCCTAAGCCCTGCCTGCTTTTGATCGGAGTCGGCAGAAAGAGCTGCCTTGATTTGCCCTGAGAAGGGAGACTTGCCAGGTAAGCCTGGGAAGGGAACAGGTGTGTGTGTGTGTGTTGGGGGGGTCTCGCCCTTCATCTAGTTCTCCTCCTTGGATCCGCCACAAACTGGATCGCTTACAAAAGCCGGATTAATGATTCAACCGTTTTGCAGTCGTTTTGAAGTTTCTTCTTCTTTTTTGCAAGACTGACTGGTCCACAGCCAGGGTGGGAAGACCACGTAGCCGGTAGCAATGCTTTTATGTCACCGATAACTTTTGCACTGACTGTACCACTTTGGTTAGGACATTAGGGGGTGCCGTGCAGTATTTTGTTTTCATAAAGGATCATACTCTCCTTTCTTCTCTTCATGCATTATCTCCTCCAGTCTCTGACATTTTCCTATACTGTATACTTTTTTCATAGATCCTTTTGGCTGTCCTAGCCATAGGTTTGAGAAATGACTTTGAGTGACCTACACTCACCCTTGGGATGCATATTCACTGATAGCATCATTGGGGTAGAGACAGTATAAGCGTGTTGCTCTGTTACCTCTGCGGTGCTCATATTGGTACTGTTCTTATCTGGCAATGCTTAAGGTATGACCAGTGTATGGCACTGGGAGTCCAGTGGGGATATGATCTCTTCAGCCCAGTGGTGGGCATCTACAGCCCTCCGGGTGTTGTCTTCCCTTGGCCCACAAATTCCACCAGTTTATGTCTACCCATCCTGCCTTTTGAGGCCTCATTGGCCCCAAACATTCAGATTCATTGTGGCTGCAACCCTACAGATGTTTGCATCAAATTTCGTAAGTTGTCATGGCTAGCTGGTGGGGCACTGACCTCATCTCAGTTGCATCATTGGATGCATGACTAGACACTCAAGACAACAAGGAGCCTGAATTGGCCATGGCAAGTTATGCAAACATTATAATAATCACCACATGTCATCAGTTCAGTTCTGACTTATGGTGACCCTTTTCAGGGTTTTCCAGGTAGAAAATATTCAGAAGTGTTTTACCGTTCCCTTCTTGGGATGCCCTGGGACTGTGTAGCTTGCCCAAGGCTACATAGGTTGGCTCTTCTCTCTGGAAGCACAGTGGGGAATTGAACTCCCAAACTCTGGCTTGTAGCTAGATATCCAAACCACTGAGCTATCTGGCCAGCTTACGCAAACCTTACAGGAACACGAATAGGAGTCTGATCAGTACATAGATTTATAACTCATCTCCCAGAGAGAGTAACGATTCTTGCGATCTGTCGTTTTTCATAAATCTTCCAAACAACTTTACAATACAGGTTTTGGCAGTCATGGGCTGTTGATTTCTGCCTCCATCCCAGGTGTGTCCACCATGCAAGAGGAAGAGGAGGAATCTGAAGCAACCTCAGTGTCTTCTGGAAACAGCAGCCCCCCTACCCCGTCTGCCAATGGCTATCCAGGTACAGAGACTCAAAAGGATTAGAAGTGACTAGTGCAGAGCCTGGGAAAGTGTGTTTTCCCTGCTCCTATAGCATCAGAAACCTTCAGGATCAGCATGGCTGTTCTCACAGGGGAGATTTCTGGAGCAGTTGTCCAAAAAAATAACTTTCTCTAGCTCTGGGCCTCTGTAGTATGTTGGGAAAGGGATGGGCTCTTATAATTTTTCATTCTAACAGAGCAGAATCTTAAAAGGTTGACATTTGTTTACGATTTTAAAGTAGCCTAAGTGTAGGTTCAGTTGCGCGTTCATAGCTCCAGCAGTTCAGCTGTGCGGCGTGTTAAAGTGGCAATGTCGCCTTTTGAAATTGTGGAACATCAGAACAGGCGGAATGCCTTTCCCACGCCAAGGTTAGAGGGTCGAGGTGGATCAGCTTGGAGGGAAGCACTTGGAAAACGTACTGTTTAGGCTACAAATCCCAGTATCCCCCAGCCGGCATGACCAGTGGGGTTGTATCCCCCAAATAATTTTGCCCCCAAGCTCTATTGAAGATGTTGCGTGCCTGTAACTCACTGTGTGTTTTCCCTTCCGACAGGCCCCCGGAGCAAGGAGCCACAGACGACCATCGGGGAGCTGGTAGAGGATGGCGGAGAAGCTGGGCAGGATCGGCTGAGTTCCTCCCAGGCTCCCAGTCCTGAATGGCACGAATGCCCCGAATGCGGGCGCGGCTTTGGCACCTCGCGGGCCCTAAAGGTGCACCGTAGCTACCACGTGGGGCGCAAACGGCCTCACAGTGGCTCCTCTTCCTCCAAGCTGCCTCCACCTCTGATCTTACCCGGTAACCCTGACGGCTGGGAAGGGCAGACGGCCCCCGCTTCGGGTCGGGGCCGAGCTTTCCACTACATCTGCGCTGAGTGCGGCCTGGGCTTTGCCTCTCCCGCCACCCTGGAGGGTCATCGCTGTGAACGGGGCTGGCGCCGGAGCCCCCCAGCGCCTCCCCGCACCAAGGTCCCGCCCTCTCCGACTCCCAGGGAAGCCAATGGGGATCAGGACACAGAGGGGGCCGATGGACCGTACCATTGCACCGAGTGCTCAGGGGAGTTTGGCTTGGTGTCGGAACTTCATGAGCACTACATGCTCCATGCTCGTGGAGAGCTGTAGATCATTTTCTGACCCTCACCTTGTTTTGCCCTCCCCGTTGTAATCGGTGGCGCCTCCTGAGGGAAACTGTCTGGCTGGGACTCTGAGAAGTTAAACTTCCACCTTTTTTTTTTTAAAAAAAGTTCCTCCCCCCCTTTTTAGTTTCTATCTATAGTTCTCAATTGAATATTCCTTGTGGGGTGGGCAAAGACACACAGATGCTTAGAGCAAGCCCTTGCTGTGTATTGTACCTTCCCTACAACTGATGTAGCACCTGTGGAAACCCTTCATGCGCTTGCAGGGGTGCTCCCTTCCCCCTGAACTGAAGGAAAAGGTACTCCAGATCTAGAGTCCATGGGTCTTTAGCATTTTAATTCCCCGAAGGGAGCCCTTGCAATAGAAACACTAGCAGTATTGAGCGTCTAGCTCGTTTTCACTAAATAATGAACCACAAGAGATTTATTCCAGACCTCCCCTGAGGCCTGGAAGAGGAGGGATGGGTTGGAATCGTTTATCCGTGTATGCAACATCTTGTATCCCTGAACCCTCATACAGTTAGTCCAGCGCCCTCTGTGAACCTATAGACGTTGTCAGACTGCCGCTCTCACTGTCCTTCGCCTTTGGCTGTGCTAGTTGAAGCTTGTAGGGCTCGCAGTCCAGTGACATCTGGAGGACCACGACTGCTCAGCCCTGGCTTAGACAGTTTCCTCCCCAGTGGGGGTGCCCGTGGTCATTGTCATCATGTTTGGCACTAGGATGGTCCATGCTGAACTTGAGGCTGTATTGTTTGTGTGTGTGTGCGTGTGCGTGCATGCACACGCATGCATGGGTGTGTGCGTGTGTGTGGCTTTTATGCGAGTGACTCCCAAAAATGGCATCCACTCAGCATAAATCATGATATTAACAATCTCTCTTCACAGTAGCTGGGAGAACTGGTTTAATAAAAGTGATTCTGTATGTATGACTTCTTATCGTGCCCACCTTTGTATTTGTGACTGGGGGGGGGAATCTTGTGGTGCCTGATTTAGCTGCAAAAGACTTGCGAACATCTGTCCTATGAAGACTCATAACCTAAGTTTGAAGATCTGCCCCCCCCCACGTACAAAGGGAACAGCTTTATTCCCTCCCATAAAGTAGAGGCAGGATGGTAGTTTAATTTAATAGCCAAGGCCATTATGAACAGCAAATTCTACTAAAGAAACGATGTAGAGCATATCATATATTATTTACAGCCACTTCACAGCAGGAAGCCAGAGTGGCTGACTTCATTACCCCTTAGTGATGTGATTTCCTGTAGAGCCAAAAAAACAATTATAGAGGCATTACAATCTTAGCTTTTGATAGTTGGAAGTAGCTAAATTATGAGGCGGGGGCGGGAGCGACTTTTGCTTTCATCTCTCATCACACTGTGAATCTGAGTTGTTTAATATTGGATGCCAACAGGAATCAAAAGTAATGTAGATGAAGAAAGTTTGGTTTGGTCTACCGTTACACAGCTTATACAATGACCTCACTTGGCTCTGCGCTGCAGTGCCAATTTGCTCTGACAGGCAAGTCAATATGTTTAGGTAACACACTTGGGTAGGGAGTCCTAGCATGCATGTGGCAAATCAAATAGGGTTGCATGTATGCCAATACTATGCTCATGAAGTAGCCTGCTTTTGGTCAAAAATAGTCCAATTATCTTTACATTATAAATTGTTTTAAATTTTCCTATATTTTACATACATCCATAATTTTAAATTGTGCAGTGCTGTGATACAAATAAAGCAAACTGTGCCTTTTTGGCCCAGTTTGCAGGACACTTAATCGTTCTTACTTTCTTTCATCTATCTGTCTGTCATCTAACTAGCTATACTTTTACCTTGCTTTTCTTCTTTAAAAAGGACCTAAGGTAGCTTACATAATTAAAAGCCATTCTTTAAAGCGAATAACAGTAAATATACAAATACAAACATAAAAAATCAGCAAATACTCTGCTAAAATATGGTGAACAAAAGCAACACCAAAACACATTTTATAAAGTAAGGTAAAACAATCAGTTTAAAAACCCAGCCAGTCACTGAGAGAAAGCTTCTCTAAAGAGAAAGGTCATCTGTGTTCCAAAAGCATGGAAAAGGTAAACATTTCTGGTTTGATCTTCAAAAAGCCTGGTTCTATATATTATTCTGTGTTTGCATAGGACTGCATTGCATTCTTTATAACACAATTGTATGTGTCGATTCAGAAGAAAGACCCACTGAGCTGAATGAGACATACGTTCCTATGGCTGTCATTTACTCTGGAATTAAAGATCAAATGTAGTCCTCTTCAGAACTAAATGTGGATTTGTTAAGTAAAATCTCAAATCGCTACACTTTTAAAACATTTTTGTCACAGCAGTTCCTTGAGCTACCCAAACAGCAAAATCAGCTCTTTGTGTGGCAGGTCAAACGACTTATTGAATGTCATGCTCCTATAAATTTCCCTTCTCCGTTTTCATTCAGCTATTTTATGTTTGCTTTTAAAAAAGTTAATACTAAGCCCAAACAGGTTGAAGTTGGCTCGACACACAAGGCTGCTTTATAAACAAAACATGGTCAAACACCATCCATCACAAATTGGAAAAAGAACACCTCAGAAAAGAATAAATGATAACTTTATAGTTTTGGAAGAGATAGCCCTGTTAGTCTGATAACTTTGAGTGCTTGAGTATACAGCGTTTGACCTGTCATTGGTCTTTACCTGTTGGTTTTAAAACTAACTTTCTGTCCTGGGAGTCAGGACAGTCCTTCCACTTTTGAACCACACAGATGGAGAAATTAATGTCCCTATTAATTTCTGTAATTGGTTTGTTTGCCTTTCTCCCCTCTGCCTGTAAGGCTCCTGGATGCTTTAACAACTGGACGTACAGGCGCAGATTCAACTGGTGAAGATTTACCCATAGCTTTATCTGGATGACACTTCATCGGTTGAATTTCTTTCTGCTGTGCTGCAGTTAAAAGCCCAAAAGAGACCAGACCGTGGGGAAGAAAAGGGAATTGATTTGCATACTGAAATGAATTAGCTAATTTCGATTGAGGGGCCGGTGCATGCGCCGATGCCCTAGTCTAGGGTTCCCCTTGCTAGCCCAGGCCACTCAATACGCATGCGTGGAACGCCATTTTAAAAGCGTCCTATCGGCCGGTTAAAACTCATAGATTGGGAACCATCAAGCCTATGAATACGAGGCAGGGCGCTCTAGGACACTAGACTCGTCGCTCCCAAGTCTTGTTGCGCCGTTTCTATGGCGGCGGCAGGGGGGAGCTACGAAAGTGCCTGACAGGAAAAGCAGCGTTTCTATAGAGAGAAAATACGAAACCTTCGTGGCCAACCGATAATTCCTTTTCCTCCGGGTTAAAAACAGAAGGAGGAGGCTTAACAAGGTAACGGGCGTACTGGTTAGAAATATTATTCAGGCGGGCGTTACGGGGCGCCCTACAGGAAACGCCGCTTGGGGCCTTGCTGGGAAAAGGGGGCCTAAACGGCCCCCGGAAGCAGGGGCGGGGAAGCGCGCCGTGGGAAACAGAAAAGGCGAGCGAGGGGGGAGGCGGCTCAGTAACGATGGCGGGGAAGGGGAGCGGGAGGAGGCCTGGCAAGGGAGCCCGCCTGGTGGTTTGGAGAGCCGGGACGGTTTGAGAGCGGCCAGCCTCGGAGGTAAGGGAGAAGCCAGGGCCTCCAAGGGAGGAGGATCTGGGCAGTTGAGGCGTAAAGGGGAAGGGAGAGCAGCCCATTCTGGAGGGGAAGGGACTCCCTACAGGGGCGGTGGGCGCTCTTTGGGGTTAGTGGGTCGGGACGGGCACCCCACACACTCCTTGGGCACTCTTGAGTGTGGAGACGGGGCCAGGCGGGTCCTGCCTCTCTGGTAGGACAGGCAGACAGGATTTGAGGTGGCTGGGAGGTGGGTCAGCACCCTTTTTTATTTGATGTATTCATTTTTGTTGACAGTGTTGTTGTTTTTTACCCTGCCTTTTTCCTTTAAAAGGACACAAGGTGGGTTACATCATTAAAAGACAATATTAGAACTTAAAAACAACGAGTATATGAATACTAAAAAGGGATAAACAAATACCCTACTAAAAAGCAAAGCCAACACTAAAACACATTCAAAGCACAACCATCCGTTACCCCCCCCTTTTTTTTAGGCAGCCAGTTTTTACCCTGCCTTTTTCCTTTAAAAGGACACAACAGGTGTTTTTGAACTGCAACTCCCAGAAACCCCAGCCAGCACAGCTGGTGGTGAAGACTTATGGGAGTTGCAGTCCAAGAACACCTGAGTAGCCCAAGGTTAAGAACCACTGACTTAGAGGAAGCTTGTTTGAAGAGAAGGATATTTTGTCTGCTTGCAGAAGGAGAGTAAATGTGGGGCCAGCCTGTCCTCCTGTGCAGTTCCAGAGTCTGGGAGCAGCATCAAAGGCCCTGTCCCATGTGGCCACCAAACACACATTTGAAGCTGGTGGTAGATCTGCTACTGTGGTTTAAGATAGGGAAACCCTCTTATTGTAGGCTGTGGTGAGTTGGTGTGATTATAGGAAAAGCTATACTGTACTTGGGATCACCTCATCTTCTGGAGCAAGAAAAACATGGTCAGGGATGGTATAAGGGGAATGACAGTTTGCAGTTAGTAAAGGGGATGTCTGCTGGAAAGTAAGCTTGGGGTGGAACTAAGCTACTTATGGGGGGAAACCATCTGCAGCGTGGTAGTTGTGTTAATGTGCAGCAGCCAAAGAAGTGTCAGAACAACACCAAAATCAGTTTGCATAGGTTTCAGGAGGTGGACTAACCATTGCAATCATTTAAAACAGCGTCCAAACATTGTAAGACACTTTTACAGGAGCGAAAAGGGAGATCGTTGTGTGAAAATCCCCCATAGGAAACATCGCTGTGTGAGGCAGCAAATTTAGCAGAAAAAGGCATCATTGTGTGAATTCATCGTTGTGTGAGGCACTCGTTGTGCGAGGCACCACTGTACATTATAAACATTTGTATAAACTTTTTTGATTGTACATCAAGTGTTGCTCAGCGTTTCAGGTGCATACATGCAGTATGCCTTGTTGCGGGTGGAATTGTAAACACCAAAGATAGACTAGATTAAATAACTCAACATTTATCAAATTGATAGTTGCAACACACATCTTGGCATCAGACAAGCCAGTGCATGTTTATAGTGTATTAAGGAACTGTTATTCTTAATCAATGCTCTGGTTATAAATCATTCCTAAAGAATTTGTGTAAATGTTTGTTTAAAAGGCTGCTTCATGGTAACTGCTGTTATAATTGCCAGAGATGAATAATATAATGTAAGTAGAACCCTGCACTTCGATTGGCTTGAAGCATATACGAGATAGCGAGAGTAGATATTTTGGGTCAACTGTTTGGCTTTATTCTTGCAGGAAGCAATGGCTGAATCTTCCACAATTAGCAAACCACTGATGGCTGAACGGCCTCTTAAAAATGTGCTGGATTGCAATGGTCTAGATACTTCACAGATCCAGGAGCATCGGTCTGCCGGCAAATCAGAATCCATCTGCCTTGAGGAGAACCCTACAACACTGCCTTCTGTCTGTCCAAGCCCACACGGCAAGGGTGAAGAATCTCCTAGCAATAGTATAATCTGTGAGTCCTGAGGCTTGCTTTTGATATAATTGAAGACTTCATAGAGCTTTATATACAATTGTATCCTGTTAGTTTAAACAACTGTTAGTTTAAATGACAGTTTAAAAAGTGGCAGAAAGGAATCATAACATTTCTTATGTTTTTTGTTTTGTTTTGTTAACACTCTGAAATAAGTGTGTGGAAAACTGTGGCTTCCTGAGACCTAGGTTTTTGTTTTTTGCATTGCAGCCTCTGCATTTTAAATAGCTACTTTAGCTTCCTTGCATACCACCTGAGGCATTACCCAAGTCCCTACATATCCTAAGTTTTGTCTTAACTATGTAAGGGGTCCCCAACCCCTGGTCGGCAACCTGGCACCGGTCCATGGCCTGTCCCCACGCGAGTGCCCCCTGCACATGCACTTGAGCATGCCACGCCCCTATGGGAGCGTCCTGCGTGAGCATGCCATGCCCCCTCATGAGCGTGTCATGCCCCCCCAACTGGTCCATGGCTGGGGACGACTGAACTATATAATTTACATGGAAGCATCATTTATGCTTTTGCTGTCATTAAAAAGTGGGAAGGAAGAAGTTGTGAATGTTTCTGGATGATAATGTAATGGCTAGGAAGGTGAACTTTCTGACCTTGCTCTGTCTAATCCTTTCTCCACTGTGATATTCACAAAAATACACTGTTCAGTGTTTTAAAAGTTTTTATTATATGGTACTGCATTTTGAATGTAATTGTATAGATAATTTTAATGTTTATAGGTAGAGGTAGTATCCAAATAGGTAGAAGAAATGTGTTCTGTTAGGCAGTCTTTGATTCTGTCTTTTCTTGTCTCCAGATAGCCTAGGTGCCAATCAGTGTTTTCACTGCCTAATCACTTTCCCGGATGAGAAGTTCAAGGAACGGCACATGAAGCGGGAGCACCCGGAGGACTTTGTCCAGGCCAACCTGCGCGATGCCCTTTTTGTCTGCTTCATTTGCAACAAGGCTTTTGAGAGTTCTCGGGCTCTCATCTGCCACCAGCGGCGTCACACACCAGCACCTTCTGACTGCATGCGGCCCTCCTTTGACTGCCCTGACTGTGGTCGCCGCTTTGGCCAGCTGGTCAACTTCCAGCATCACCGCCTGGGCCACGCTGCTGGCCACAGCTTGCCTCACCAGTGCCCGGACTGTGGCAAGAGCTTCCGACAACTTTCAAACTTGCGCCGGCACCAGGCTTTCCATCAGCAGACTCAGGAATTGCTGCCCTCCCGCCCTTATTCGTGCATGGAGTGTGGGGAGAGCTTTAACCAAGAGGCGGGGTTGCATGAACATTACATCCGCCATGCCCGTGGGGAGCTCTAGCAATTGCTCTCACTATATGGATGAATTCTACGGAGGCAGAAAGATGACAGGCATTGCTGTGTGAGGTTCCAAGCTAGAATGTCTAAAGGAACTGTATTATTTAGGTTGGGAATTTGGAAGGAAAAGCCTACTCATGCAGTAAAGGTTGTGCTTGGTTTCGTTTCAGGTAGGAATTGTTCAGAGGTGTGTGTGAAGGGTTTTTTTCCTGAGAGCAAGAACAATTGGTGAATCGGAGGGGAACTTCCCTGTTTAGAAGGTGCTGATTTCCACTGAGTTTGTTGCCAGATTTGATGCTGCTTATGTTGTTGGGAAGCTCCTGTCAGCAAACTCCCAATGCTTTTGGGGTTTTCCGGACATGTGAGATCTGCTGTTGCCACAACCTTTTTATTTTGTGGTGCTGGTAGAGGAAAGAGATTTGGAGTTCTGTGAGTCCTTCAGGAAAACTGTTTACCTTTATCAGAAGGTAGGGATGTGAGTGATCTGACCAAGAACCCAGAAGGGGCTAACATGGGGGCCTATATTCTAATCGGACTGTGCCCTTGTAGATTCCCATCGGGGAAGCAGAACTCAGATGCAGCAATGGTCTGCTTTCATAAAGGCACTTCGTAATTGCACAGACGCACTTGAAACCATGATGTAGGAGACTAATCAGTGATTAAATGTTGACTGCTTTATCTTTGCCCTTCTCGGCTAAATGGAACTGAATATGTGAAAGAAAAAGATGGCATGGTTCTGGAGCCTGAACACAATATTCCATCAGCAGAATTATGGATTTCGTAAGATTTAATATATTGCTGAAAAATTTTCCTCCCCTGGATTATACATAGCTTTTGTCCAGAATAGGGGTTTGAAAGCAGTCTCTTCAACTGTGAATATTCCAGATAATGAATCTTGGACTCATTGAATGTGTGATTGTCCCTATGGCTTCCCGGTCTAAACTCCTTGATGTACGTTCCCCAAAATTATATGAAAAAACTAATAATCTGGATTTGGGGCAATCTAGATATTGTTTCCAGACAAGGCCTTCTGACTGATGGAATTTTACAGGGATCTATATGGCTCTGTCTTTTATTTGTAATCCTGTAATGTTTTCTGGCCACATGGTCCATGTTCTACTACCACAGAAAATCTGTTAAGGAGGGATACTTACACATGTTCTTTTGACTGGGAGTCAACCAACTGGAAGCATTCTTTACCATTGCTACAGGCCAGTTTTTCCTCCTCTTCCGTGAGATATTGAGTATGAATCTATAATTCACCCCTTCTTAAAGTTACATTCTCTTACTCTTGCAGCTTAGTTCCTCCTGGTATCCTACTAAAGACATGCCTAGGGTTTTTTTTAGGTATCCAACAGCCTCTTTTCCCTGTGTTAGGCTGCCACCTTTTAGATGGTTTAGCCAATTTTTTTAGTAATCATCACAGTTTCTTACCTATGCCACCCCTTTTCGGGGTTTTTGAGGCACAGAATACTCCGAGGTGGATTGCCATTCCTTTGTTTTGGGGGTTGCTACAGAACTAGGCAGCTAATCCAAGGCCACACAGACGCCAGCCATTTTTAGTTGGTATTAAATTGGCTTTTTAAAAAAAGAATACATGGCTGTTGTTACTCCCAAAAGCAAGACATGACTTTTTTCAGGTAAAGCAGTTACTTAGTTCAACTAGATATCTATAACTCCTAAAAATATTCTTAATTAATTTTGTTCTTCTGTACACATGAGCTGTGCATTCCTATGCACATTGTGTGTGCATGATGAGCTGTCAGCTTGATCCTGTGAGTTTATGACTTCCAAAAGGTCCTATCATTGCCAGCCCTGCACACACTGGACCATATTTCTTGATCTTTTTAGGTTAGCAGGATATTTAAAGTAACTTATCCTTGTGATCTACTCCTCTCCTCTTCTCCCCCCCCCCGGCTTCCAGTAATAAAGTAGCAGTGTATGTTTCCCTTCCCCTTAAAGCAGAGTTCAGCAGTTTGCGGCCTTCATGAAATCGTGAGCCACAAATGAAATGGTGAGCCCCCAGCAGCCAAAATAACCATTGTGAGTTGTTATGGGAGTTGCAGTCCAATAATAGGTGGAAACCAGCAAGCTGCCTATCCCTTAATTAAAGGAAAACGTATGTTTTCTTTCTTTGGTAGGGGAGAAGCTGTATTCCTGTTTGCAGCTTGCCATTTTTTACTTAAGGGCTACAACAAACAAGCTTTTTTTTTTTGCCAGAGAAGTATGACAGAAAACTTAGCAAGCGGAATACAGTGGGGTCTTGACTTAAGAACGGCTTGAGTTAAGAACATTTTGACTTAAGAACCACTCTCATAGGAAAATATTGACTTGACTTACATACTTAGATTTGAGTTAAGAACTGAAAAAAACCACATGGGAGGCAGGGAAAGTGCAAAATTTGAACTTTCAGTTAACTGTTGGCCAGTGAAAAGGGTGCCTGTCTGCTTCCTCACTCCTCCCAGCGTTTAGAGAGTGGATTGGGAGACAGTCTTCGGACTACCTGGTACTTGTACTGCCTGGACTGTATTTTCCCTGCCTTCCCTGAACCTTTCTTGACCTAAGAAAAAAAGAAACAAAATATCGCCCTCTAGTGGTCGAAGGCAGAATAGCAGCTTCCCATTAGTTTCTATGGACGGAAAAGAGCAGATACGGATCAAATGGTTTTCAATGCATTCCTATGGGCAATGCAGATTTGACCTGAGAACTTTTTGACTTGAGAACCGCCTTCCAATACAGATTAAGTTCTCAAGTCAAGACCCCACTGTAGTTTACTAACAAGATGATTGATGTACAACTATAATGTGAACCCAGTTGTTGCTTCTTAGTAACTGATAAAACAGGCACCTATTGATAGCTGTTTAATACACTCATCCACATTCCACACACTACACTCAAATGCAGTTGAAGTTTTACTTGGAGATTAATGGAAACACTGTGAATGTGATACAAGGGCTAAATTGGGGGAACCGGCTCTGGTCTCCTTTCAACCAATGAGTCATGATCTGGGAATCATTGTGCTTACACCATATTTTATGTAGTTCTTGTTGGCACATGATGTATAAAAATGTGATCCTAAACATTCAAATGAAACAATGTTCTCTTTGATAAGGAAACAATAAAAGGTTGATACTGAGTGAAGTGACCAAGTATGAGGTTGTATGATTGGTGGAGTAACGTTATGTCCCATCAGTTTGTCTCTGATTTGTGGTGATCTCCATGTTCTCAACTCAGCTCTTGCAAAGTCAAGCCTGTGGTTTCCGTTAGGGTGTCTGTCCATGTCATATTTGACCTTCCTCCTTTCCACCTGGTGTCCACCTTTCCCAGCATGATTATTATCTTTTCTAGAGAATCCAGCCTTGTCATGATGTGCCCAAAGTAAGACAGCCTCAGTTTCAACATTTTTGCCTCCAGAGATAGTTTAGGCTTGATTTGAACGATGACCTACTTGATTGTATGAACTAATAGTTTGTATGGGGCAATAGTGTTGGAGTAAAAAGCAAATTTGTGCAGCGGATGGATAGATGGGAGACCCTGGATTTTTCATTACTCATTTTTGAATCAACAGGGTTTTTTTCCTCTAGTAATCTGACTATATCTTGGAAAGTTGAAGAGCTTTGAAGTGGCCTCTTGGAGATCAAAAGATAGTCACCTCTTCTAAATCGAGAGTATGTGGATCTCCAGATATTGTCATTCCAGAACTCCCAAGTGGTGAAGGAAAACGGGAATGTGCAGAACATATCTGGAGAGCAAGACATTCTCCATCCCTGTTTGAAGGGTGGGGTCTGACTATTGCTCAGACAGCTGTGCGCTTATTTTGGAGATTTTTTACCCAAGCATTTGCTGATGAGATACCAGAATGTAAATATTACCTTGAGTGAATAGATCATGAGTCTGCACATCATTTTCAACAGCAATAACCCCACTGTTTTTTTAATAAGTTACCTTCATATGAAGAAGAGAGATGAGTCAAGACAGATTATATATTTTAAAAGACTGAAGTAAAAGGTGTAATAATAAAGACAGTGTCCCCCCATAACATCAACATTCTCCCACTATTTTATACCATTATTTAATAGATTGGTAACTGATAACTATAATGCTATAAGCCTCTGCGGTAGTGACAAATGCTAACTGGTTATACTGAGCATTAGCCTGTAATTGAAAAACCAAGTTCTGTGAACTAAGAATGCATTCTGTCTTTGTACCGATCAGGATTTGAAGAACTATGCACACAAATGTGCAAACAAAGAAAGTTTGGAGTCTGGATCGCCACTTTGTTTTCAGACCCCAACGTTTCTGAAAACAAAGTGGAAATGCAACAGTAGCTGGATGTCACTTTATGTCTTCCAGCTTTCAGAATCTGGAAATCTTTTTGGAGTATGGCGACTCAAATCCCTGGCCAAATCGGCCACTTGCCGCGCTGGCCAGGGATTCAGCAAATTGTAATCAAAGAATGTATAGATAAACAAAAACGCAGGTCACGTTAGAGATCAAGACAATGTCTCCCAGCAACATTCCATTCAGAGACTGAAATCTAATCGTGAGCTGCAATTAGAACAGGCCAGTTGAATGAGTTGGGATTTAGCGAGTCAACTCTATGTTCGATTAAGTCAATGGCCTATTCTAGTTGTGACTCACTACTAGACTTCAGCCAGTGCCAAGCAAGAGCCAAGGGTTTTGAATACAGATGGATTTTGAATAGTAATGGTTCATCCTTCAGATGGGTGCTCCAACTTCCCTTTCCTGCCTCCTCTAGCAGGTGCCCTTTCAGAGGCAGCCTTCTGGGCTTCCCTGCCCTGCCTCCTCTGAGTGGGCGCCCGCCAGAGGAGGCAGGGGAGGGAAGCATGCGCCCGCCAGAGGAGGCAGGGGAGGGAAGCTGGGATGCCTTTAGAAAGGAACACCTGTTCATCCAAAAGGCAAACCACCAAAGCAGTGGTTTGTACCCATCTGTAGTTTAGAACATTTGACTTGGCTCTCAGCAGTAGCGAGGGGCAAAAAGTCATTCAGATGAGGCCTGTATCAACAAGCATTGCTTCCCCGCTGTTTAGGGATCACAGAGGAGGCAGGGGAGGGAAGCTGGGATGCCTTTAGAAAGGAACACCTGTTCATCCAAAAGGCAAACCACCAAAGCAGTGGTTTGTACCCATCTGTAGTTTAGAACATTTGACTTGGCTCTCAGCAGTAGCGAGGGGCAAAAAGTCATTCAGATGAGGCCTGTATCAACAAGCATTGCTTCCCCGCTGTTTAGGGATCACAAATCCATTTGCTGAAACAAGATCACTTGAGAATCAAAGCCTTAAAAAGTGGCAAGCACCAGTGTCAAGCGAGCACAAGGTTTCAACAAGCTCTGGTTACAATGTCCAGTGTTTCTGCACATTGGAGGGGACTGGAGGAAAGATCCATCGCAGGTTACAAGTCATGATGGGGATGTACAATCTCCAGGCTTAGAAGGAAGGGACCTGCAGATGCAGGGGAGGGGCACCAGGAGACAGGGATCTAGTGGTCTCGTGTGCTCCCCAGAGGCATCTGGTGGGCCCCCCGTGAGATACAGGAAGCTGGACTAGATGGGCCTTTGCCCTGATCCAGCAGGCCTCTTTGTTCTTACTTTCAATAGTGTGCAGACACGGCCTTTGGCCTGATCCAGCAGGCCTCTTCGTTCTTATGCCTGTACTTTCAACAGTGTGCAGACAGCTGGAGAATCTGCCTCTGTTCCAATCACCATAGTTTTTTTTATCACAGCACAAAATCATAACCTACACAAATCTAAAAAAAAATTGTGTGTACTGGATATTTTTCATTGTTGCACAGTGGCCGTTTATCAAGAGCAAGAGGCAAACAAAGGCTGCCCATTTTAAGCATGCCTTCTTTGAGGTCAGGCAAACATGGGGCAGGAGTTCTAGGTCTGCATCTCTTGTCTAGTAAACGGGACAATAACCTTAATGTATTTCCTGGACCATCTTAGCTAGGCTTTGCATGCCTAACTCTTCATTCTTTCTGGGTGAAAAAGCAAGGAAAAAAAGGACATTGCCCATGGTATATAAACCACTGGTTCATTCTTTTGGCTGAACAAGCAACCACCTCCTCTGATGGGCGTCTACTCAGAGACAGTGCCCAGAGGAGGCGAGGCAAGGAAACTGGGATTCTGCCTCTGGCATCTGGAGGAGGTGGTTGGCTGGGAAGCACCACACCACCTGTTTGCCCCCCCCAAAAAAAACAGGCGCAAACCACCGAATCGGTGGCTCATGCCCATCTCTGATATCAAGAAGCAACATTCACATCTGCAGCTGAGTGCTTGTCATTGATTTTATACAGCAGTGAAGAACACACAACAGTGTGGTCCATCCACACCTGCCATGTGCCTCCCTCTGATACAGAACGCTGGTGGCATAGCTGCAACCATCGGGTTCTCAGTGAGGTCAGGATCTCTGTTCTGCATCCAAGTTCTCTACTCTCACAGTTCTTGGGATAAAAGGTTGTGGTTGCATCATCATCTACCCTTCCAAGAGCAAAGAACAACAGTGATGGATCTCCACCACCAAACATCTATTTGAACACCAAGGCATGGAATTGTACTCAAGAATCCTTGCCCCATCTTGTCCTTTGACAACTCATCCTCTTCTGGATTGGGGCTGTTGCTATTATAGCACCCTCCACATCAATGTTCTTTAGTCCTCCATGTACGCCCTCAGCAGCACCCTTTCTGCATCATCTGACAGTTCCACCACAACTTGCTTCAACAACCCATAAATGGACTCAAAGGAGATCTTAGGCTCCACGTTGACATTCCTTCCCCAATAGGGCACGTAGCCCTGCACCCAGGTGATTAGTGAGACCGGCTTGGTGATGAGGCTGTACACGTACTCCGAATTCAGTGGCTTGGTGAAGACGCTTTGGATTTCTGCCCGAAGCAGCGGGACGGCCTTGTCCACGACCTGTGCGGTGCGCTCCAAGGATGCGTCGTCCAGGCCAAAGTCTACGCAGAAGATGCCGATGGTGACCGCCACGTTCTCAGCTTCATCCGGACGAGGATTCTCCGCAAAGGAGAGGCAAATCTGCAAGGCCTTCCCCCACGCGTCTTTCATCAGCATTTTGGCTTTCCGCCTCACCAGTCTGGAGATAACGGTTGGGATGGCTCTCTTCAGTGCTTTCCTCTTCAACTCTGGAGCGCTGTTCTTGAGGGCCTCCTGGAGGCTGGCGAGATCATAGGTGTCGCGCATGTGGCAGGAGACCAGAAAGACCTGCGGGGCGTCTACCCCATCCTTCTTCAGAGCTTCCATGCAGCTCTTCCGCACCCGCTCCTGCCGCTCGTCTTTGGTAAATGATTGGCTTCCAGGCCGAGCCTCCACGTCAACATCAATTTTGTTTCTCACAAAGAACATCTGCTTTCCTGTTGAATAGATGGCTCTGGCCAGGCAACTGTGGACATGCTTATAGCGCTCTGAGGCCACCAGCAGAAAGAAATCATAACGGCTGAGATCCATGCGGCTCACATCCTCTTCTGTCACCCCCACTCCTGGCAGGTCCCAAAGATACAAGCAGGGAACAGTTGACAGCTGGTAGGCCATAGCTTCCTTGGTTGTCTGAGTCAACCCAGTGGGAGCTGCATCTTCCTCCTTGGAGCCCAGCCCTCTCAGGGCGTTGATGAGCGAGGATCTCCCCGAGCCAGCTTCACCAATCACAGCTACGTTGAGCCGGATTTCCGTGGGGTTCTCCAACACGGAATGGATCACGGATGGGATTTCCGACAAGCTTCTGGACTCACAAATCTTGTACAACTCCTTGATCTTCTTCTCACTCACGGATGTCAAGTCATCCAGGTTCCCGTCATGATTCCTAGAAAGAATGACCATTATTGAAAAGCCCTCCCTAGATTCCAGTTTACTGGACAACTATCGGCCAGTCTCAAATATTCCACGTGGGGGGGGCAAGGTTGGGAACCACTGCTCTCCCCTGTTATAGCAGTAGGTTGAAATTTGGCCACGGGCTGTGCCTGAATACATGAATGAACAGTGAGGGGGCAAGGTTGGGAACCACTGCTCTCCCGTTACAGCAGTAGGTCGAAATCTGGCCACGGGCTGTGCCTGAATACCTGAATGAACAGCGATATACAGTGGTACCTCGCATTACGACGTTAATTTGTTTCAGTGAAATCACTGTAGAACGAAAACGTCGTAATGCGAAAATAAAAAGCCCATTGAAACGCATTGAAACCCATTCAATGCGTTCCAATGGGCTGGAAACTCACCGTCCAGCGAAGATCCTCCATAGGGCAGCCATTTTCGGTGCCTATGCAGTGAAGAATCCATCCCAGAAAACAGCGGGGAGCCATTTTATTTACCTGGTGGCCACTTTGAAACCGCCGATCAGCTGTCCGAAAATCGTCGTTTTGCGAAGAATCTGTTCCCGAAGCAGGGAACCGATCATCGCAAAGCGAAAAACCCCTATTCAGCCCATTGTTTTGCGATCGCAGAAATGTCATTGTAATGCGGTTTCGTCGTATTGCGGGGCAATTGTAAAGCGGGGCACAACTGTAATGGAAAGATCCAAGGAGACTCCATGCGCAAATAGGCCAGACTCATAAGCCTCTGAGATGGGGTGAAATGCTATAGCAGCAATTCCTACAGAACTGAAACAGGACGCCTCCTGTGTGTTTTAGATTCACAAGAGCCTTCCATTATTCATCAGATCAAGGCAGCGCTCTGCGTGTTTTCCAGATTGCAGCTCCCACCAGCCATATACCTTCTAGCCAGTGGTCAGGAAAGCTGGGAGCCACAATCCGACAACACTGAATGTGCACCTTGGGTATGGCAGTCTCTCTATGTGACACAGCTGTGTTCACATGGGATTCCTTTCCAACACAAAGGCAAAAAAATCTTGATATGCCAGAGTTGGTCCTCCCCCGATTTCCTTACTCACCTCTTCAGCGTAAGCACCTCTCCTTCCAGGCTGTCTTCAAAACGAGCAAACTCGTATCTCTCCGGCTCCAGCCCGGAGACCAGGAAAAGCTTCTTGGGATCCGTCTTGTCCTTGGCCAACGTGTCCGCCAGCCCCTTCCGGACCAGCCCCAGCTGCTCGGCAGGGTTGAATCTGGTGCGGAGCCGTCTCTTAGCCGTGTGCAGATCCAAGTCAATCTTGGTGCGGGCCAAGAGGAAGGGTCTCCCCGTCTGCTTGATGGCCTTGAGGACCTGGAGGTGGGTGTCCCTCAAGCCTTCACATCCTACCACGACCACAAAGCAGCCATACTTGCTCAAGTCCCCCAAGCCTTTGAGGTAAGTGGCCGGCTTCTCGGACCCTCCAAAGCCAGGTAAGTCGTGCAAGGTTAGGTTGGGGTATGCGGGATGGATGTGAACAACCGCCTGCTTTGTGGGTTGAGGAGCTTCCCGGAAATAAGCCCATGGATCCGACACTGGGCGGGGCTTCTTCACGATAGCCTGGACCAATGTGGTCACGCCGGTGCCTCGTTCTCCCAGGAACCCGACCTGGATCTTAAGTGCATTCACACAATCCACCATCTCTTGGATTTTGGAGGCGACTGCGCTAGCGTTTTGAGCCTCGTACTGGGCCTTCAGGTTTTGAAGCTGTAGCTCATCCAGGTATGTGTTATCGGCCATGGTGGAACCTAGAAAGAGAACGGATGGAGAAGCATCTACCTGGGGCAGGTGCTCAATATGGATTGAAGGACAGGTGGCGGCTCTCTCTCCCCTCTCTAACTCTTCTTTGGACTCCAGCGTATACTAGCCACCGTGGCCACTGTCTATGCGGATCGGGGTGTTCTGGGAACTGAAGTCCCAAAGCTGTGGTGGTCATACTTGACTAGTATGCAGTGGGTTGTTTTGTTTTCGTGTTTGCAGTACAGTGGTGACTCGCTTGATGAGGATAATTTGTTCCGTTGAAATCGCTGTTAAGCGAAATCCTCGTCAAGCAAAACGAAAAAGCCCATTGAAATGCACTGAAACCGGTTCAATGCGTTCCAATGGGCTAAATACCTCAGCATCCAACGAAAATCCTCCATGGGGCGGCCATTTTCGGTGCCTGTAAAGCGAGGAATCCGGCCTAAAACACAGCGGGGAGCCATTTTGCACAGCAGGCAGCCATTTTAGAGCCACAAATCAGCTGTTTAAAAATGGTCATCTAGCGAAATATCGGTTCCCGAAGCAGGGAACTGATTATCGTCAAGCGGAATTTCCCTATCTAAACATGGTTTTGCGATCGCAAAAACTTCATTGTCAAGCAGTTTCATCATTTACCAAGGTAATCGTTAAGCGAGGCACCACTGTAATAATAATTACTGCGCAGCTTGCCCAAGGCTATACAGGCTGGCTTTTCTCCTGTGACATAGTGGGGAATTGAAGTGTCCAGCCATGTAAGCAGATAAAGGCGTGGAAATAACCCCACCACCACTCCTGCAACAGGTTGCTTAATATCATGGACCCATTTAACAGAAAGGGGATTTATAAACATTGCAATAGCACAGTTTCGTTAGGTTGTGTCCCCTTAATTAAAAGCCTTACTTGCAGGCAAGGAAGCAGAAGGAAAGAGAGCTGGGCATCTGGAGAAGGCAGCATTTGCAGGTGAGTTTTAAGAGTCCAGCTTTTGAAAAAAAAGAAACTAGACTACCGAAAAAGGAATGCAGTAATTTTGTCTAACGGCCTCTAAGCCTCTAAAGTCCGCTCCCTTTCTTAATGGAAAATCCCAGGGATCCCAATTTCAAAATGAAAACACTATTTCCTCCCCCCAACATTCCTCCCTTTTCCAAAAACAAATAGCTACCACCATCACCTCCCACACCATACTGATCCTAAATAAGATCATCATCATTGCAGAGCCAGAAGGGCCCCTATAGATGATCAAGTTAAACTGTCAAAGGTTGGGGGAATACCTTTTTGTAACAAAATTATGCAGAAGTCTACGGGTTGATAAGCTCTGCTTAGGGTTGAAGACAAATCTGGGGAACTGCTGGACTTTTAGGTTTACAACTTTGGGAATCAAGACGCTGCTTTTTAAAATTTTGGTCTCCCAAATGCTGCATGCAACTGGAGGCGTGCAGCACCCAGCAGCAATTCATTCAACGAAGGCTCCCACCTCCATTTTGAGACCAGAGTCCAAATCTGGGGAACTGCTGGACTTTTAGGTTGCCAACTTTGGGAATCAAGACGTTGCTTTTTTTAAATTTTGGTCTCCCAAATCTTGCATGCAACTGGACGCGTGCAGCACCCAGCAGCAATTCCTTCAACGAAGGCTCCCACCTCCATTTTGAGACCAGAGTCCAGGGCACACATCTTATGGCATCAAACATGATCACGACCCCCTGGGTGCAATGAGGCTTTTGGGCCAAATCCTGAGCGCCTTCTTTTGCAAAGGCGGAGTGACGACGAAAACAGCAGCAACCGTAACAACAACAATCCCCGCCCAGTCTCTCCTCCTCCCTGTACATTCCCTGATGAAGAATTCTGTTGAACCCGAAAGCTTACTCCGTCTTTCGCATTATTATGTGCGCGCGTGTGTGGCTGATCCGAGAGCAGCTGTTTTGGAGAATTTTACTCAGGAGCAAACGCTACCTTTGTATTTTATAATCTCCCTACAGGCTGTTTTTTTTTCTTTCCTGCCTTTCCATTATTCACCCCCCGGTTTCAAATATTGGTTGGCCAAAAAAAAAAGGGGGGGGGAAGAAGGAGGAATCCCTCTTGCGGAACTCATCATCATCATCGTCATCATCTCCTGTGGCCCTTCTTCGCCCCCAGTCCCTTTTTCTCTCCCAAACTCCCTCCCCCAGGAATCGGGGCCACCCACCGATCGTGAACCACCCTCCTCCTATCCTAGGTTTGTGGGGCGCACCTGGCAACCTACCCGCGGTCCGCGGCGCGCAACTTGCTCGCAGAGGAGGCGATGCGGGCTGAGCTTAGAATAGCTGCGGGGAAACGAAACCGGAGCGAGGAGGGGAGAGGAAGGCTGGCCGTGTAAACTCGGGCTCCTCCTCTTCCTCTGGATTCCCTTGGGTGGTGGTGGAGCCGGAAAGGCTCCCGAGAAGGATCAGGGATCCGGCGCGGTGTAAACAGATCAGGGCGCAGCTGCAGTATTGCGCAAAAAAGGGAGAGGAGGATCGTGCGCAAGAAGAAGAAGAAGAAACCAGTCCCGGGGTTCAGGATCGCACCGTTGTGCTGGGTAAGGACAGGGGGTCGAGAGAGATCTGGGTCTGGTAGCTCCCTTTTTTTTGCTGATCGCTTATGGGATCCGATCAGATCTACCCATCTCTCTCCGGAGCTGCCTCTCCACGTTGTCAAAATTGGAGACTGCTTTTCAGGACCAGCGATCCCTCCCTGTCCCCGTCAAAAGATCCATCAAAATTTTTTCATCTCTAGGATTGTGATGATGGTGATGACTTGTCTGTATTGCTACCTTGCTGTGCATGGCTTTAAAAAGGATTCCCCCCCACCCCGCAAGACTATGATTTTAAAAGAGGACAGATCAGGCTTCAACCATCTGCCATCTTTTATTGGGGGGGGGTTCTTTTAATACGTTTTATATATTTTATATGATTTTAATAATATTTCATGAGCTGCCCAGTACTGTAGTTGTATGTTTGCTAAATGAGTGGGGTATACATTTAAAGAAAGAAAAATAAATTTGAAAAAAAAACACAAATGGGTTGCTGCTTGGATTCATGGGCTGGAATCCAGCTGCTGGTTTACACTTGTGTAAGGGAAGTCGCGGAAATCTTGGCTGCAAATTGCTGCTGGTTAGCAAAGGGCTGGTTGCGTACCTGGACGTACACACAATAATGCACATGAGGCACACAAACCAGCACCTGATTTATAAACAGCAACAGTCTAACATTATTAATCGAATCACTTAATGGGTAAATCACCAGTAGGATTCTGACCATTGCTTCAACCCCTCAGAGGGTAATTGACAGGTGAAACTGACCTTCTTGTTGCTAGGAAGGATGCTTATGTGAGCGGATTAAACTCTTGACTTGAGGTTGAAGGGAACCGCTGGCAGGTTCATTCTGTTCTTGATGTGTATTTGGAGCTAGCTGGCTGGATAGATCCGTCGTTTAGGTTGGGAGTTTGATTCCCCACTGAGCCTCCAGTGAGTAGAGCCAGCCTATGTAGCCTTGGGCAGGCTGCACAGTCTCCAAAATAGCCCCAGAAGAAAGAAATACAGTGGTGCCCCACATAGCGACGTTAATCCGTTCCAGGATTAACGTCGCTATCCGGAAACATCGCTAAACGGAACTGAAAACCCCATAGGAATGAAAACTCACCAGTAAGCGAAGATTCCCCATTCGGCCGCTATTTTCGCCGCCTCGGTAAGCGAGGGCAGAGCACGAAAGCAGAGCAGCCGGCCATTTTATTCTTCCGGCGGCCATTTTGGAACCGTCGATCAGCTGTTTTTAGAACATCGCAATGTGAAGATTGGTAAGCGAAATGCTTACTGATCATTGCAATGCGATTTTTGGCCTATCTAAACATTGCAATGTGATCGCATTAGTGATCGCAAAAAACGCGCCGCTATGCAGATTTGGCATTAAATGGTGTGCTCGTTAAGCGAGGCACCACTGTAGTAAACCACTTCTGAGAACTCGCTACCTAGAAAGCGCTGAAGAAGGATCTCCGTTAGCCAAAATTGACTTGATGGCAGATGATAAAGATGATGATTTGTATTTGGAAGTTAGTTTAAGATCTATATGACTGTTTCTGAAGTCCTTAATATAAGCCTCTAGGTAACGATTTTCTTTCTGGATTCTCTCTTCCATTTTCTTATATTGCTACAGAATCTTCTGGGGGAAGAAGCTGGTTTTTTTGCGTGTGCATCCAAAATGTCTCTAAAGATCCCGCAGATTTCTCCAGCTGGATCTCCTGAACAAGGAGACGTCTCTGTGGCTCTTGTGGGCCAAACGGGAGCGGGCAAATCGGCCCTGCTCAACAGCATACGTGGGATGATAGAAGGTGATGTCGGATGTGCCCCATTGGAGGCCCCACCCAAATCTGGGGCCCCGGTGATGTACCCTGACCCCTCCCACCCCAATTTGCTGTTTTGGGAGGTGGCGCTGGACAACGAAGGCCAAGCCGACCGGTGGCTGGGGGAGGCTGACGTCCTTGTGGTGGTGGCCGACGGCAAATTTGGCGAGAGTCACGCCCATGTGGTCAAGGCGGCCCTGGCGGCTAGCAAGAAGGTCTACTTTGCCCGCACCAAGGCTGACCTGGAGCTGCACACCCTCAAGCGCCTGATGGGGGAGCGCTACGAACGAGCCGAGGTCATCAACGCTCTGCGGGGGGTCTGCGCCGAGTCGTTGGGAGCCCATCAGCTCGGCCAGCCCTTTGTGTTCCTCATCTCTGCCTTTGAGCCTTATGCCCTGGATTGCCCTCAACTACGAGAAGCCTTGCTGAGGGACGTTTGCATGTACGAGAGGTTAGTAAAGCCTCCTTATTATTCAAGAAGCTTGCTCAGAGGCCCTCCTTTAAATGAGGTCGGGGTGGATGCATGCAAGACAAAGCTTGTCTGTCTGTTTATCTATCTATCTAGTTGGGCTAAACTTGCTAAGCCTTGTTCAGGTCAGGAGGTATGATCTCCAAGGCTTCTCCTCCATATGAGATAGATAAATGTTTTCCATAGGAAAACAGCATTGGAGCGAATAATCCCTTCCAGCCGCTTTCACGATCAGAGGTCATGTGGAATTGAAGTTTTTTTGCATGCATGCCGTGGTAGAGGCTTAAACTATTTTCACCTCTGGAGAAGCTGGTGTCTTAGGAGCAGCAGTTTTTGCTGAATCGGTTCAGTCTTGTTTTCTGTTTGGTTAGGCCAGTTGCATTTGATCTGTGGGACCTTCTCAGTGGTGGCCTCCGTCCTACAGAAATCACCTCGCCCCACATAGTCCTAGAGTGTTTAGGTATCTCATGCAAAAACCTTTATATAGTTTTAGATGCCTTTGGAGATCATGTCTGTTTATGCAGGTCTCTCACATTAGTAATTTGTCTTTCTTCACCAGATTTTATCCTTAAGATATTTGAGACGGTAGATCCCAGAATTTCTTTTCATGTGGGTAGAGGTTTCTGGGAACTGAAGTTCAAAATATCTGCAGGCCCAGATGCTCCCCAACTCTGATTTACGCCATAATCAGGGACGTCATCTGATATACAGTCGTGCCCTGCTTTACGATTGCCCCGCATTATGACAAATCCGCTTTATGATGATCTTTTTACGGTTGCAATTGCGATTGCAAAACGATGGTCTAAATGGGGGAATTTCCCTTAGCGATGATCGGTTCCCTGCTTCAGGAACTGATTTTCGCTTTACAACGATCAAAAACAGCTGATCGTTGGGTTTTCAAAATGGCCGCCGGGAGCTTTAAATGGCTCCCTGCTGTGTTTAGGGACAGATTCCGCGCTATATAGGCAGCAAAAATGACCGCCGTATGGAAGATCTTCACTGGACTGTGAGTTTTTAGTCCATTGGAACGCATTGAACGGTTTTCAGTGCGTTTCAATGGGGTTTTTAATTTCGCTTTATGATGTTTTCACTTAACGGCGATTTTCCTGGAACGGATTACTGTCGTTAAGCGAGGTACCACTGTATTAATCCTAGTCTCCACTCCACACCTCTGATCTCCTTTCAACCCTCTTATCTCCTCAGGGTTCTGAAGCCCACCCGCTTGGATTTTGAGGTGATCAGTGAACGAGAGATTGCAGAAATCCAGGAGGCCTATGAATTGGGGGGTCTTTCTGAGGTGGTGACACGCATTCAGTGCAGCCTTGAGACGATCTGGAACGCCCAGCTTAATATTGCCATCACTGGGGAATCAGGAGCTGGGAAATCAACTTTTGTCAATGTTTTAAGGGGTATAAATGATGAGGACGAAGGCGCCGCTGCAACAGGTGTGACAGAAACCACAGCCGAGCCCACACCTTATCCTTACCCCAGCCATCCCAATGTTACCTTGTGGGATCTCCCTGGGGTTGGTACCCCCAACTTCCAGGCTGATCGTTACCTGGAAAGAGTGGAGTTTTCTCGCTATGATTTCTTCATCATCCTGGCCTCCGAGAGATTTAAGGAGAGCCATGTCTGCTTAGCTCAGGCCATTGTCGCGCAGGGGAAGCAGTTCTACTTTGTGCGCACCAAAATAGACAACGACATGGACGCCGTGCGAAGGAGGAAGAACCCGCCGACTGAAGAAGAGGTTCTGAACGAAATCCGGAGCGACTGCCAAGAGAAGTTTGCCAAGGCTGGGCTGGCCAACTCGAAGGTCTTTCTTCTCAGCAGCTTCGAGATCAACAAGTATGACTTCCAAGCCTTTGAGGAAACTTTGGAGCAGGAATTGCCCAGCCATAAACGCCACGCTTTCCTCTTGTCCTTGCCCAATGTCTCCTCGGCCATCATCGAGAAGAAGAGGCAGCTTCTTCACCAGGAGGTTTGGAAGGTGGCGTTGATCTCCAGCTTGGTGGCTGCTGTCCCACTGCCAGGCTTGGCCTTCACCTGCGATGTCTCCATTTTGCTAAGGAAGCTGTCCACTTACCGGCAAGATTTTGGCCTCGACGCCGCCTCCCTAACCCGGCTAGCAGAGCGTTCGGGGAAGCCGCTGGAGGTCCTGAGGGCAGAGGTACACAGTACCCTAGGCCGGAGCATCAACAAGGACGTGGTGATAGGATTGTTGGGGAAGGCCACTGGAACAGGCCTTGTAGTGGCCAATTTTTTCATCCACCGGATCCCGATTTATGGAGCCTTGGCTGCAGGGGGCCTTTCCTTCCACACCACCTATTCTATGTTGAGTCAGTGCTTAGAAGATCTTGCTGCTGATTCACAAAAGGTTCTCCTGAAGGCCTTTGACAGTGAGGTCTGAGGTGGCTAGAACAAGATGGCGGCTGTAGGCCATTTGGAGACTCTCCCTAAGGTTTTTCTCCTTTAACTTCATCCCAGATGTTTCTGCTGAGGGAGTCCAGGTTGTACCTAAACTGACATGGATGTGAACTTGTCCTTGGTGTGTGGGAGCAGGTGACACCATCATCTGAAAGAAGCATGAGAATCCCTTTATATGAATGGTTCTTTCTCAGTTTTTTGCCGTCACTGTTAACTATGTATTGCATCACAGCTGTTACAACAGTAAACTATAACACAATGTTACATTTTCCATGTTTGGATTTTACAGTGTTTGGTTTGTTTGTAATTTGTTTACAAACCACATTTCGGAAGCTGGGTTCTGCTCTGCCACAAGCCTGACATTGTTTGTGAAATTCGATAGATACATATGTTCAGTTAGTTTAGTTGTGCATTTATTTCTTGCTTATAGACATTGGCATGAGAGCTCACGGGGTTGGAACATCTGACTGCAGGGTGAGTGGTCAGGAGTTCGATTCCCCCACTGTGCCTCCCACCAGACGAGCCAGCATGGGTGACCTTGGGCAAGCTACATGGTCCCAAGGCTCCCCCTAGAGGAAGGGAAGGGTAGACCACCTGAGTATTGTATAAAAAATGCTAGGAATTGAATTGACAGCATATAGTGGTGCCCCGGATAGGGACAATAATCCGTTCCGGATAAATTGTCGTTATCCGGAAACATTGCTATCTAAACATCGCAATGCGATCGCAAAAAATGAATCACTATGCGGATTCGTCATTAAACGGTGCGCTCGTTATGCAAGGCACCACTGTATATATGTGTGTGTATATATATGTATATGTATATGTATATACACACACAGATACACACACACACATATATATACATATAAATACATACATACACACACACACACACTTTCTGGGGAGCAGTGGGGGGCAATTTCATCCTGTTTCTGGGTGAAGGTGATGGCCTTCCAAGATCTGAGGTTAGACCCTGGACTTCTGAAAATTGCTCGCCCTGGCTTAGAGAGGTAGACCAGGCTGTTGTAATATCAAGAGCGGCGTGAGTGGGCCAGCTGATTGGCATTTACGGTTGCTTTTGGTCTTGATTTTGCCTTGCAGGCTGCCATTTGCTAACTACGGCCATAGTCCTAGTATAGCTAGACGCAAGCTACAAAGAAGGGGTGAAAAATTTATCTGGGATGGGAATACTGCCTCCCAGTCTGAGTTGTGGGACAAACCAAGGGATGGGGGGGAGACTGTGTCATATTTTGTTGGTGCTTGTACTGCGGACAGCGACTCCTGATCATGCTTCTTGAAAGCAGTGTCGTCTCTTACCTTGAATGCTGTTTGCCCAGAAGACTTTGCTTTTGTAATTCTATATGGGAAGTACCTTGAAACGGAGTGAGAAAGAAGCTTTCATGTGGATATATAAGTGCATGTTGAGGGAGTTGCAAAATTAACCACTTTGTTACTATGTAGTACTCCCCTCCTCATTTCCTCCCATGGCGTAATCTTATTTTTCTCGCCATCATTAATAAAGTGGTGTTACAGGAATGGCTCTGTTGCATCGATGGTTGTGAAACGTCCCCTGAGTAACGTTCTAAATGGGCGGTATATAAATCTTATAAATAAATATGGCGTATCATTGAACAGCCGGGTAATTCCAGAAAGATTGCATCTTGATTGCAGAATCGACGTTGTCTTCTTTGAAACATGATCAATGCAATCGATGCAAGAGATGGAGGGACAGAACAGCATTTATGGAGAAGTCTTGTGTGACAGGCAGAGGGAACGGAAGAGCCAACGACGGTTGTGGAGAGGAGGAAATAAGCGATGTGGAAACAGACGGCCAGCCACTCGGGTCAGGATGGCTGTGCAAAGAAAGCCCCACCCTTTACTCAGTTAGCATCTGTAAAACGAACCTCCCATTTCCGTTGGTTTTATTGAGGAATTTTTGCCCAGAAAACAAATTAGTTTCTGCGCAGGCAAACCCAACTGGCGAGCTGTGTGGGATGAGATCCATGTTAACCTTGGCACCCTCTTCTTATTTCATCAAAAAAGCAAAAGGGACGTCTCTTAAAACTGCTGCCGGTTATTCGACTGTCCCTTGAAAGTGAAAAAATTGGCCCAACTCCATCTTACAAGGAGGAAGAAGAAAATTAAGAGGTCGAGGCAAACCGACAAGAGGCCGTTTCCTTTCACGTTTTGAACGTCCTGCGGTGTAGTGGGTGCGTCTTCAGCCTTCCTTCTGAGCCTGAAACAGATTTCCTGGAGGAAAAAAGACTTATCTGAAATTGGCTGCTCTCTGAGACACCACACGCGATTTCCCCCCCCCCCCGGGCCCGGGCTTCTCTTCATCCCCCTCGAGTGTGATATGAGGCCGTACGTGTATCTTGGGATCATCCTCTTTTGTCTTCACACAGGTGAGTGGCAGGTGGATTTGTCTGGAGGGTTGTAGCAGATGAAGGGATGGGGGGGCCAAAGCACTGAAACCTCTGGACTAGGAAATCATCATCATCATCATCATCATTCACCGTCAAGGCAATTCTTATGGTGACCCTTTCCAAGGTTTTCCAGGAAAGAGAATACTCAGAAGTGGTTGACCGTTTCCTCCTTCCGGGCTTGCCTTGGGACTGTGCAGCTTGCCCAAGGCTTCGTAGGTTGGCTCTCCTCCTGGCAGGCACATCAAACTCCCAACCACTGGCCCTGCAGCTAGAGATCTAAATCCCTGAGCGATCCGCCAGCTCCTAGTCTGGGAAGGAAAGTGATATGATCTGCCATCCCGCTTGGCTTTTTTGTTCGTTCTGAGTTGAAGGGGGGCAATCATCCCAGTTAGAGTGGCTGTTTAGATATCGCCAAAAAAAGAAGGGAAGGCAAAAAGAGTTGTTGATTTTGCACAGAATTATGTGTCCTAATTTAGAGTTGAAAATTGAGGAATCATATTTATAATGTACATAGAATTACCAGGACAACCCAGTAAGTGGGGGAGACAGTGAGCAGGTGTCTGCTGAATGTCATGGTGTGTCACTCTGGATGGCTGGCTTCAAAGTTGCTGGTCTCCAAGCCTATGTTTCTTTGGCTTTTGATTAGCCTTGGACTGGAAGGAGACACATCCTTTGGTTAGAGGACTGTCCCTCCTAAAAGAGGTCATGTGACCACCTTGCTGCAACAGGAGATGGTAAATGTTCCTATCAAAACACTGTAAAGGCTCACCCTTCACAAACATCTTCCTTGCAAGAGCTATTAAAGTCAATTGGCCCTGCATCAGAGATGGCTGGATTGCTCAGTGAGTTAGGGAGGTTGGGAGTTCGATTCCCCACTGTGCCTTCTTGGGAGAAGAGCCAGCCTGCATGGCCTTGGGAAAAGCTGTACAATCTCATGATGGCCCCAGAAGAATGGAATGGAAAACCACTCCTGATGGACTTGGTGGCATATGGTGATAATTAGGAGAGAAATTATCAAAGCAGAACATATCCAAAATGTTTGTTCACTTTGCAGGAGGAAAGATTCTTTATTTTTTGGAAGTATGCTGCCCTAATTTACACAGGCTGGCTGGCCACATTTTGGTATATTCACCAGCCCTGGCTGAGTATCATGGCAATTCAGAGCCTACGTAAAGTTACTTGCTTGGACTACAGTTCCCAGAATCCCCAGGCAGCTTGGCCAGGGCAGATTCTGAGAGCTGCAGTCTTAAAAACCTGACTTTACCAAGATCTGAGATAGTTACGTTGGTTTGGACATCTTTCTGCTGGCCTAGATATTGGGCAATTCTGCCAGTTTTCTGTTAGAGGTTTTGCTACTACTATACTGCTTATTCTCTGCAGAAATGTGGAGAAGGAGGCAAAATGGATAGTCAGCCAATATTGTGCGCCTATGTCTTTCCCCAGCCAATAGCTTGAGGTGCGCAAAGTGTGTGAGCAAGAAAGGAAACTGCAATGAGACCGAAGTGGAAGCGTGCAGTTCATATCAAGATGCTTGTTTCTTTGAAGTTAAGGATTTTATTGGTGGTAAGCATTGTTATTTAATCCATAGCCTAAGGTATGTGTCTTTATCTCTATCTTTATCTCTGTCTGTATGTCCATCTACATCTCAGCAATGTTAAAAAGCCCCAGTCCTTATTTAAGACTTTAGATGCACACTGGAATTTGTATAGGTATGATGTATGGTTCAGTCTCCAGTTAAATGGACCATAGATAGCAGGACTGGGAGGGAAGCTCTTGTTGAACTCCCGGAGACCTGATGATAATCAGAACAAAAGCACTTAGCAAGATGGATTAAAGACCTAACTCAGTACATGGTGTTTGTATATGGGAATTTGTTTATTCCGACCGTACCAAGTCTAAGCAGGGCCTTCTTAGTGCCCGCTCTGAAGTTGTGCCATTTCTTATCAAGGGAGGCCAGGCTGGCTCTGTTCTGCTGGCAAGTAGAGAGACTAAAAAAATGCAAGCAGATTTGGGGCAACAGGGGAAAAAAGGGGACTTGCAGAAACGGGTTTGTTGTATTTTCCTTGGGGGAATGTGTTTTTAGTGATTCTATATTGTGTTTTTCACTTAATTGTGTTTTACTATTTTGATTGATCTTTTCAAGTGTCTTCCCTGCCACCTGGCATCCTTCATTGTGTCTTCCTCCCTTTCACAGTGAGCGGAACGACTGTGAAACGGGGTTGCACCACTGCAAACTATTGCCGCCGCTACCCTGGAGGGTATAAGGGACATCTGGACCGGACAATGTATTGCTGCTCTTCGGACCTCTGCGAACCTGTGGATTATCACCGTACGTAAGAACAGAGTAGCAGCGGATGATTACTAGGACTGATGCTGGTTGCCGTGTGCCTGATGATGGGGTCTGAATTGATTTTGAGTAGAGATGGGTACGAATCTGGAAAATGGTGGTTCGTGATGGTTCGTGGTTAGCGACGAACCACAAACCCCCAGAAACTCACCAGAAAACCAAACCACAAAGCGACCGGTGGTGGTGGGTCTGTCTGCTCCTGTTGCACCACACCTGATAGGGAAGCCAGGCTGGCTATCTCTGAAGAGGGTGGTGGCGGATGTGACATGTAAAGAGAGATGATGGGGGCAGTGGGAAGGGGGCAGGTGGGCATTTTGCCCAAGGAAAATGAAGGGCTCCGAGGAAGAAAGTTCGGTGCTTTGTTTCGTTTCAGCCCAAAGGGTTGCACGAATCAAATGCTTCCTGTAAGAGCAGTGCAGCCAAGGAACCTATGGCCTTGGGAGATGATGATGAGTGCCCCAATGCTGGAGGCATTCAAGAGAAGCTCAGACAAGAGATCTGAGCTGTCGGATCTGCTTTGACTTGGATTCCTGCACTGAGCAGGGGATTGGACTGGATGGCCGTAGAGGCCCTTTCCAACCCCATGATTCTATGATTCTATTGTTCTGTGACTATATCCAAAACCACAGCTTGGCTAATGAAGGGAACCTGATGGCTGCTTTCTCCTCTTCCACATGGGCATTTCAAACAGACAGCCACACCGGAGCAGAAAACAGCATGGCGTGCCAGAGCTGTATTGGAAACGAAGCAGAATGCGGCCAAAACGCTTGGTCAGAGCCGTGCCATGGGAATGCCGATCGGTGTATACAGATTTCCCAGCGCTTCCTCCCAGGTATTGTCAAACTGTCACCAATGTTGCTCAAAAGAGGGAACTCAGCTAGCTATAGGACAAAACGTGCAGACTTTGACTTTTGGAAATTTCCTGAAGAGTTGTTCCTTGTTTTCAAAAAGCTAATTTTTTTGGCAATTTTGTTGCTGAAGCTCTCTCAATAAAATGGAGTTGTAGAGCAAAAAAGTAATCAACTGTGCCTTTAATTAAACTAGTCTGTCTGTCTGTCTGTCTGTCTGTCCGTCCGTCCGTCCGTCCGTCCGTCCGTCCGTCCGTCCGTCCGTCCGTCCGTCCGTCCGTCCGTCTATCTATCTATCTATCTATCTATCTATCTATCTATCTATCTATCTATCTATCTATCTATCTATCTATCTATCTATCTATCTATCTATCTATCTATCTATCTATCTATCTATCTATCTATCTATTGCTCTTTCCAGGTGAAGAACTAGAACCCATTATAAAAGGATGTGGAGACAGTTCCTTTAGGGACACTCTGGTGGCTTACCAGATCGGGAAAGATTTCGCCTATGTTGAGCAAAACGTCTGCGGTCTGAGGAACTGTAACAACAGGAGTTTCCCAGGTAATTAGAACAGAGGTCTCGGACCTCCAATGTTCTGCCACGCAACCAAGAAGTTTTGGTGGTGGTGACGGAGAGCTCTAGACTGTAACAGCTGCATTTTCAGAGGGAGAGAGGACAGACGTGGTAATTTTGGTGGATCATCTTCTCTTCCACCAAGTTTTTCAACTTAGGCAAACTTCTGGATTTCAATCACTGCATCACCCCACACCCCTTGGCAAGTTGACTCACACGGGGACAGAAACCAAGAATCCAAGGCCTTGATGTGCAGGAGCTGAGGCCAAGCAAGATAATGTGAAGTTGGTGATTTAAAAAAAAAAGTCCAGAAAGGTCTCCCTGAGCACTGTTATAGTTATTATACGTCAACAATTTGCTGCCTTTCACAAAGTGTGTAGAAGATGGCTTTTGGACTACAACTCCCAGAAGCTTTCTGGCCATGTGAGGATTATGGGATTTGTGGTTTCTGTAGCCACAGTTCATAGAAATAATGATTCTTGTGACAATTTTCTTTCTTTCTTTCTTTCTTTCTTTCTTTCTTTCTTTCTTTCTTTCTTTCTTTCTTTCTTTCTTTCTTTCTTTCTTTCTTCTCTCTCTCTCTCTCTCTCTCTCTCTCTCTCTCTCTCTCTCTCTCTCCCTCCCTCCCTCTTACAGACATATCTCCTGGACAACCGAACGGATTAAAGTGCTACACCTGTCGAGAGACAGGGAAGGGGGAGTGTGACCGTGAGAGGCTGCAGCTTTTGAACTGCACCGGGATCATGGATCGGTGTGTGCACATCATAAGCAAAGGTAAAAAACTGACAGTAGACAGTGGTGGCTTTCACCCCACGGGATTTGCAGTACAGCAGATGGAAAGGGGAGTCAGAGTCGGTACTTCGAAGAGTTGGTCTGAAAGGGGTGGGTGGGAAATGGGCCACCTTTGTTGGATGTCACTATTTGGTGTACCCGTTAGGCCCTAAATATTGACATAGGAATACCCTTTTAGAAAACGGCTAGAACTGGAAGTGAACTGGCAAACTAAAGCCAGAACATAGACTCATTCAGAGAGGCAGTGTGTAGACTCTGCTGCATGTGTTTGTGTGTGTAGGCATCATCTTGACAAATAAGAGCCATCAGCCTATCTCCTTAACAGATGGAAGGTGCTTGACTACTCACACAGCCCCCCACTCCCTGCATTTTGGGGAAGGGCATTCTCAACCAATCCACAGCCCACTATTGCTTTAAATGTAGTCTGTAGTGCACTACAATTCCCATGAGCCTTCGCCAGCTTAGTCAATGTGGAGGGCTCATGGGCATCATGGTCACACTTGTCTAGAGAGCACCATGTGAGGGGTGGCGGGCACATGGATGCCACTGTAGTGGCGGGCACATGGGGCGCTAAATAACCAGGCAATGTTTGCAAAAGGCAATGCAAGACGTTGAAAGAGTGTTATGAACGCTGGCTGTTTTTCTCCTTCTCCAGACCGTGACGTGCCGACAACTATCCAGAAGGGTTGTGCCACAGAGTCGATGTGCACCAGCTATTCCGATATCTATTATAAGCTGATGAGGCAGGATTCGTACCCTACCTGCTGCAAGAAGTCCTTCTGCAACCGAGCAGGAGATCATTCTGGTCCAGAGAGGCTGCTGGCAGTGGCGGGTGTTGTCCTGTGGCTGGCGCTGATGGCTGGGAAATAGCTGGAGTTTGCTGGATCATCCTTCTTTTAAAAAAGCTTGATGACCCTGGGTGCTTAAAGCTGCCCGGGTGAAATCGATTGTTGGCATTTGGCACATCTACAAGTCACTGTGACAGTTGCACTACTTAGTGTAGGTATTGGATACTGAGATAGATATATAATGGGCAACATTTCACGTGCACAAAGAGAAAGGGGACAAGATGGAAAAGAAGCTTAGAAATGTCCTGTGGAAAGTCACGACTTTCTGCAGGGTTCATTCTGCCCACTAGAGGGCCGCAAAACCTGCATTAAGGAGATGCAAGTTTGCATTTTCAAATTATGACTCCAGGAACCTCATCTTATGCTTTGGCAGCCAGACTCTCCAACTAAACCCTTTGTTTAGCTTCCAGTGATCAGTCTCAAAACAAAGCATGTGAAATGCAAATGACATAGCTATGAAACTAATTTGCTGTGACAAACAGATATCTTTCACCCCATGGGAGAGCACCTCTGTACCAAATGAGATAAATGTATCATCTAGTCTGGTCCTCTAACAACTTTCATTGGCTGGTAGGTGTGGATCAATATGTCGTGTGTGATTCTGCTCCGGTTCTCATTTTTCTAACATTAAATATGTTTCCTCACATTTTGGCTGTGATTCTTTTTTTTTCTTTTTAAAGTAGTGTGCACCAAGATATAAGTGCTATAAAATTTTTAAATGCAGGTTTGCTGATGTCTGTACTTTCAAGGCATGCTTGAAATACATACTTTTCTAAGCAGCTTCCCATAATTTAATGCATTTTTTCTGGGCAGTTCCCCAATATATCCATTTTAGTGTGCACAATTTCTAAATTTGCCGATTGTGCCACAAAATTTGAAAAGTGTTAAATTTTGCCATTTATATGGCATCCCAGCTTGTATATAGGTTTGCATAATTTGTTTGTTTTGATTCTCAGCTCAGTTCTAGAAGATCAGTGTTGTTTTTTTTTAAAGAAGAAGCTGCATTTTGGTTCCTAAATTTTACATGTGTCTCAAATGGTGGAAAATTGTTAACTTTTCCAGACTGTGCAAAGTTGCAAAGAACTTTGACAGAAAACCTTGCTTAGAAAAGGGGTGTTAGGCTCTGCCAGGCAGCTGAGATTTTAGCTGCTTCTCTTGACTCCACTTCCTCTTTCTTTGGCTGCTTAAAAGTCCTGCATTTCCAGGTGTTTTTGTTATTATGTGACATCACGTCGGACTTATAGCAGCCCTAATAGGGCTTTTAATTTAAGTGAGATGTTTAAGGAATGGTTCTATGAGCTCCACACCCTCAGTGAGTTTCCATGGCTGAGCGGGGATTCGAACCCAGGCCTCCTGAGTCCTAGTCCATCACCGTACCCGTTACACCACACTGGGTATCCATTCCTGGGTGTAGGAGAGAATATAGGGGACACAGCAAAGCGGGGAAGGAAGCAGAACACCCAACCAAATACAGTGGTGCCTTGCATAGCGACGTTAATTTATGCAGCAAAAATAGCTGCTAAGCGATTTCATTGCTATGTAATTTTAAAAAGCCCATAGAAACACATTAAAACCTGTTTAATGCGTTCCTATGGGCTAAAAACTGACCTTAAAGCGAATATCCTCCATATGGCAGCCATTTTCGCTGCCTCTTAAGCCAGGAATCTGTGCGAAAACACTGCGGGCGACCATTTTGTTTACCCGGTGGCCATTTTGGGACCGCCGATCAGCTGTTAAAAAATCATCCCTTTGCAATGATTGGTAAGCGAAACAGGGAACCAATCATCGCAAAGCTAAAAAAACCCATAGGAAACATCGCAAAGCGATCGCTTTTGCGATCGCAAAAAGTTCGTCGCTATGCGGTTTCGTTGCTAAACGGAGCGCCCATTAAACGAGGCACCACTGTATGTGCAAAGGAAAATAATCGCCCGTTAAGCAAGGCACCACTGTATGTGCAAAGGAAAGTAACAGAAGAGGACTCCTATACATGGTGACTCTATGAATGAGTGACTTCAAAAAGTTCTTGTAATGAACAGTCCTGCTCAACTCTTACTAAATCAAGGCTGTGGCTTCTATTAGAGACTCAATCCATCTCACATTTGTACTTCCTGCTTTCCTGCTGCCTTGAACTTTTCCTAGCATCCTCCTCTCTACCAGGGAGTCTTCTCATGATGAGCCTAAAGTACAACAGCTTCAGTTTTGTCCTTTCTCTGCTAGAGATGGTGACAGCAGCCACGAAATTAAAAGATGCCTGCTTCTTGGGAGGAAAGCGATGACAAATCTCGACAGCATCTTAAAAAGCAGAGACATCACCTTGCCGACAAAGGTCCACATAGTCAAAGCTATGGTTTTTCCAGTAGTGATGTACGGGAAGTGAGAGCTGGACCATAAAGAAGGCTGACCACTGAAGAATTGATGCTTTTGAATTGTGGTGCTGGAGGAGACTCTTGAGAGTCCCCTGGACTGCAAGGAGATAAAACTCTATCTGTTCTGAAGGAAATCAACCCAGAGTGCTCACTGGAGGGAACAGATCCTGGAGCTGAGGCTGCAATACTTTGCCATCTCATGAGAAGACTCTCTGGAAAAGACCCTGATGTTGGGAAAGTGTGAAGTCAGGAGGAGAAGGGGATGACAGAGGATGAGATGGCTGGACAGTGTCATTGAAGCGACCAAACATTAATTTGACCCAGCTCCGGGAGGCAGTGGAAAACAGGAGGGCCTGGCGTGCTCTGGTCCATGGGGTCACGAAGAGTCGGACACGACTTAA